ACCTGTGCTTTTTTTCTTACTTACATTAATCATGAGAAGTTGGGCATTTAACTATTCAAACATTTTATCTATTTATTTTTATCTTAACTGCATATATTGAATTCTACTTACATGAAAATAAAAAAGAACCAATTTATGGTTTGTCTCCAGCCTTCAGACAACAACAAAGCCAGTGCTGCATTCTTTGCCACCATTTTGATAATGTATCATAAATAAATAACATTACCAATTACTACATCAAATAACTTTTTTTTAACACCATATCATTATTATGAAATTACATTGCAAGACTTAAGAAAAACATAGCTATTGGCTACATAAAGTTGAATAATATTATCATATTACTCACCTATAGTTCTCAGAAGGTGAAAAGTGGGAACTCATGCATTATATATAGACATAATTACAAAATATGCAAAAAGTACAAAATACTAGGCTGCAACATTTTTTTTGTATTGAAACCTTATTTATTTTGAAATCCATTAACAGGAGTGTAATTCCAAGACTTCCCTATAAGTAGAGGGGAAATGCCTAAAATTAATACAAAAACCTCAGCTAATACAGTATTTAAGACTTCAGATTATTTGATCAGTCAACTGACTGACTTGCCAACCCTATGAGTATACATTACCCCCACTGGCTCCCTTTCAGTGGCCTTCAGGAAAACTTTAATGTTTTTGAGTCATTTCTTCACATCTGTGAGTATTTAGCTACTTCCAAATGTTCTGTTGTAAATTCAAATTAAATTTCTACACAATAGCACGTCATGCCAATTAACATGCCTTTGAATACACACACACACAAAAAAACCACTCTTCAAATATTTGCTAACTCTTACATGACTATTTTCTTCCAAACTTTTTTTTTAATACTGAAATAACTAAATATCTTGATTTGTGGTTCTCTTACAGTGGCTATAAAAGGTATTCATCAAAATAAGAGAGAGAGAGAATCTTACTTTAACTACATTTGTTGTGTTTCTTTTGTATTTTATCTCAGGCAGTTTCATTAGGATCTTCCATTTTGTACCTTCAGGATATTTTGATCAATGCATTTTGTTACACCTGTATTATTTTGCAAAATAATTTCTTTTGAATGTTTTATACTGAAGTTGACTTTTTGTAACACAATATTCACAATTTTTTTTTCATTACACAGAAAGCTTGTTAACTAAAGATTGATTTCAGCACCACTTATGTAGTTTTAAATAACTATAGAGTTGATTGTAAGCAAACTATGTTTAATTACCAAAAAAATGTTTAAAATATTCTGATGTATCACTAACTATTGCTTTTCTAACTAGTGTGTAAACTTACAAAACAAATTAATTTAATGTTTTAGACTAATAAAAACATCCTTATGAATTTGCAAGATGTTTAAAAGAAATTACTGAAAACTCACAAATGATATTCATTAGCACATAAATAATTGCAAATGCAAGTTTGGAATATAGAAAATATGAACAATAAGGTTCATTTTCAGTGATCAGGTCAAATAAAAATATCAATATTACAGCATACTAGTGCTGATTAGGGTTATGTTCATCTGTAAATTGTATTTTCCAGCACAAGGCATACTTTAACAAAAATTTTGAGTGACACAATTCCTTAGTCCAACACATGACTATTACCAAGTGAACTACAAAGTCATTAGACCATACAATGATGTACAATCTCATGCCTGTATAATGATTTATATAAATGATATATTTCATTCATTTTCTTCACTGTTACTGTTCCAAATTTCTGCAGCAAACCTGCTCATGACACATCAGTTGTGAAGCACTGTTCTAGAATATGTGAATTTGTGAACTTCTCATAAATAACTTAAAAATATACTTTTAAACTTTGTATTAATGTATTAGAATTAAAAATACACAAATTAGCAATATACCTAATGACAGAGAAAAAAAAACTCCTGATAATGTACATTTTATTTATATAAATGTCATGAAACTGTGTACAGAACAGATAATTTTAAGCTTAACATTGTAGTTATCTTATTTTCTACATTTTGTCTCAGAACAATCCAAAAAACACTAGATGAACATAAAATCTTCCACATAATGGGATAAAAATGAACTTGATGGCCATCCAAGAACATGAAATTTGAGGCTCTATTTATTTATCTGCTCCAAGGCATAAGGTGCTGCATGTTAAAAAAGAAAAAGGATTACATGAATACTATAAAAAAATCCACAGCCAAAATCAGTACTATAATAACATAAATGGTTAAGACACAGAAGATGATTTAGTTTGTCCATGTAATTGTACAATGTAGTAAAGAATAGTGAAAAATGGAACTCTCCTAATAAAATTCAAGAATATATACACACAAGCAGAAAAATATTTTTCTTTTAATCATTGATGGATGATATGAATTTTAAAATAAATGTTAATACAAGACAATTATTTTAAGTTAGTGCTACATGAAATGAAGTTATTCATGTGCACAATGTGCTGCATGTAAATAGAGGTGCTTTCATTTATAAAATGCAAAGTTCTATTTAGATAAAGTTAAGTAAGATTGGCATAGTACAGTGTATTGCATTATTATAATTTTTTTCTATAAAAAATAACTTTTTAATATAATTTTAAAAACTTTCTGGACATAGCAGCTTATCAGTGTGTGCTAAAATAAAAAGTTTAAGAATAGAGTCAACAATATCCTTGAAAATAAAGGGCAACTTTGATTTTTTCTTGGTGGTAGGTATTGTTGCGTCAGCGAGTCTCATGACCACTGTGGCGCCCTCTAGTTTCTAGAAACTATCTTGTTCTTTCAGGAATGCTCTAGTAATTGCTAGATATAGGGTTGGCTGGTATATAAAAGAGGGGAATGTAATGTGTGCGTAGATAGTGAGTAACTGAACTGCAGTCGGAAGTACTGTTGACGTTCGTTGATTAGCGTTTGTTTTAACGCGATTGTTGAAGTTGAGTGTATCGGTAAAGTTATATTCGGAAAGAATAAATCAGTTTTATTAAGTAAAGAACTTGTGTCGCAAGTTTCATCGGAACGAAGTTACGGAAAATCAATTAACAAACGGAGACGTAACAGTATGCATGGGCAGCCTTGAAGGATCAAATGGTCTCTTGTTGTTGTTGTATGTTACTTTATACACCATAATGTATCTGTCATAGTCTATAAAAATCTTTGAAATTTACTGTTTGACAATTTTATTGTATGAAATGTCTTCTAATGATGTCCAAAAATTATTATTTTGTACAATAATAGATATAAAATTAATTACATCAGACATTCAAATAAAATACAATGTTAAACTTCAAGTACGTGTAACAGAATAAATAATTTGTAATTCTTTTGGAGCATATCAAATTCTCTTTGTTGGCAATTAACATTGATGGTATACATGTTAATTACACAGTATGTAAAAATATAAAAATAGGTTTAATTATCTAGTCATTTAGTTAATTTTTTTTCCAATGAAAACAGACTAAAACTTAAAAAATTGGTTTCATTAGGATACATATACACTCCTTTCAATTATCGTATTTTCTTAGCGCATCTTAAAAATTGTTTAGTCTGCTTTATTTAATTTCAACATTTGCAAATGTGTCAGTACATATTAAGCTGATTTAAGCTAATTTTCAGTCTATCTTAGAAAATTTTGAATCAAGTATTTTTGTTTAGTTTCATCCATTTCCTATTAGAAGAGTTAATTTATTTTGTAATTTCTTTTGTTCATCTTTTTGATTCAGTTGTCTTCTTTTTAAATAGGTCATATTAAGATCATTTAATGTTTCAATTGTGAAGTCTTACCTCTTAATATTTGTATATGTACCTAAACTTCATGCCATTTCAATGAATCACTTGAAATTGACCACTGAATAATTTTGCTAACAGTTCATCAAAATAATGCATGACATATCTCAAGGAATCACAAAAAAGTTTCATATAAAAATACTACTAATAATGTACATTTTAGATGCTTGACTGGAATACACTGTGAAACTTGTTATAGTTGTAAACAATTTATACTTGAATATGATATATAATACAATGTTATCTATAACCTGCAGTGAGACTCAGGCATGATACACTAAGTACTTTTTAAATTTACAGTGGATAGCATTCTGGTACCAGACCCTGACTTTTGTTTGCTTAAGCTCAATTTTGTGCATTATATCATTATTTTTGGGTACATTTAAAAGTCTTGCTGTGAGATTTCATGGAGAATGGATGTAAGAGCTTCAGATCTGAATTGTATGAAAGTATTTTATAAGAACATTTTTTATTGATTTAAACCAGACAATTCCTTTTACAGTAATTAAAGTGTTTGAAAATAGGACAAGAAATACGCTTTATCTGATTTCACATTGATAACCTGGTGCAAGATTTAGTGGAAATTTCCTGCATTGGTCTCCAAGTGTTCCCTAAATAAGGCGTGCTTATTATTTTTTAATGTTACTTTCATTAATAGTAATGGTTAGATTGTTTTGCATTTTAACTTAATATATATATATATATATATATATATATATATATATTTAGGACTAACCTAAATCTACTAAGTTGGCTACACCTTATGAGATATTATTAGGATTATGGCCAAAGATATTGTTAACAGCAAGGATGCCCAATTAATGAAACAATGAATTCTGATCTTTATAAGTATAAACATAAAGTAAATTACTTAACTAGCTATACTTATCAGAAAGTTATTTTTTTTAGATTCACTCTAAGTACATAGCTTGCTTCTGGTCAGAAGCTAATATCAATATAACTAGCAGGTCAATTACATTGTATTAATACATAATAAAAATACTAATACTTATCATAAAAGAATTAACCTACCACAACCAGAACATTTATCTCAAGGCAAGATTTTTAAATATATATCTCAAAAGTAATGACATAATAAACATATTACTATCAGAACCTAAGTTAAACAAATAAAAGGTCCTGTTTTGCAACACTAGCCCTATATTACTGAATTTTTTCAATTACATCATAGGCATAATTTGGCACTTTGTGCTAATGATAATGCAGCAGTGACACTGAAGTATAATATTCATACTATACTATTACAATGCAAGTACATCAGAGCTACCAACACTCATGGATCAGATCATATTTTCATTCTCAGTCACACATATTAGTAAAAACTCTTGCATTTTGGCCAATTTAGCAGCTTTCTATAAATATAATGCATTATGGTTAGTTGATCAGATGGATCCAGGTCAAATCAGCATTAAAATGATCCAGCAAATATACCAGATTGTACCATACTGCTTCACTGAACAATATCTCCTGGGGAAGCATACTCATATACTCACACACACACCCAGAAGGTAACCAATCACCTCTGATGCAGCACTTTTCTACAGATTAAAATTGTATTTATTCAAAAGTAACATTCAAAGAGATTGCTAAACGTTTGCAGTCCTGGTATGTATTAATTTAAAATAATTAATAGTAATACTCCTACTCCTAACAATAACATACTTCTTCAGTTCTTGTAGTTATACTCTAACTTAAGACTAACAACACTAGTAGTAGCAGTAATATTAGTATTAGTAACACTTCATCATGAATGTAACTTGTGATACTTTCACGTTTTTAGGCTTAATTTAACTTTAAAGTTTAAGGCAATTTACCTGCTCGTATGATCGCAACAATGACTACGAAAGTAAGCAAACTGCTCAAAACACCTGCTCTTGCTTTTTTCTTCTCTTCAATGGGATCTGCTCTCTCAGATTTTACTGGTTGAATTCTAATCATATTGTTAAAGTGTTTTAATTTCAATGTTTATAAAATAAACAAGCAGTTACTACTACCTCACCAACTCTCTCTGCTGCTTAGCTGAAGTTAAACTAATTTTAACTTTTGAGTAAGCCTAAGCAGTACAGTTACTTACTAAGTTTTTCATACGCGTTTGATATCGATAAAGTCCAACAAATCAAAACCACGATAGAAATCACGTGATCTGGTTTTAACAGAGAACGAAAACATTTTAAATAATAACATATTTCAGACAGAAAGGTAAAAAATATTCAATTACTAGCAGATATCCTTCGAAACAATTCAACGGTAAGTATCCTAAAAAATAGTGACGAATAAATACAAAACGTGCAGTCAACTCAACCTTTGTATCACAGCATATATGCAATATGGTTCACCCAAGGGATAATGAAATCAGAATCAGGGTGAATGAGAATGATGGGGGTGAATAACTATTATCAATTTTACAACAAATTCGAGAGCAAAAAAGTCACTATATATTTTTATTTATTCTAGTTGTAGTTTGATGTATATTTATATCACAATAAAGAATTTTGCATTTTAATATAGCACTCTTTTGTCTTTTTTCGAACTGGGGTGAGTGAGCTGTTGTGAAAAACTTATAGGGGTGAATGATATTGGAAAAGGTTGAGAAGCAGTGGTCTAGTGGGCCGTTTACAATCGTCTTTTGTCATTCTAGGTGTTATTTCAATAACAAAAATTGCATTTCGTTTGTTTCTAAGCAAATGAGAGTGAATACAATGAATTGTTGACAAAATCTTTGGTTTTGATGTAATGGGTTTGTTTGTTTGTTTTTGAATTTCGCACAAAGCTATCTGCGCTAGCCATCCGTAATTTAGCAGTGTAAGACTAGGGGGAAGGCAGCTAGTCATCACCACTCACTGCCAACTGTTGGACTACTCTTTTACCAACGAATAGTGGGATTGAATGCCACATTATAACGCACCTCCGGCTGGTGTGACGGGGATTCGAACCCGCGACCCTCAGATTGCGAGTCGAGCACCTTATCCACCTGGCAATGCCGGGCCGATGTAATGGGTGCATCCATCACATTAAACTAAAGCTTTCGACTTCACTAAGTAGTCGCGGAGATTTTTTTTTTTAGCTGAATGCCACTGACTGCGGCCCACTGTCATTTTACTGAGCACAGGAAAAGACAGCTAAAGAAGTGAGCGGTTTTTTAGCCATTGTCATTTCTATAAGAAGTGTCAAAGGGGAGATATTCAGTTCAAATCAACTTATTCGACCTGGTAAAATAAAATCACGCATGTATATAGTACCGACGTGAAATATACTGTTGCGTCAGCAGTCACATGACTACAGTGACGCAACGTTTCTAGAATTATCATGTACTTTGGCGAATGCTCTAGTATTTACTAGTAGGGTAGGCTGGTATATATATAAGAGGGGAAAACGTGACGCGGAAAGGTAATGTAATGTGTGTGTAGATAGTGAGTAATTTATCTGCGGTCGGAGTATTATTGACATTCGTTGCTATAGCGTTTGTTTAGCGCGATTGTTGAGTGTATCGGTTAAGTTATATTCGGAAAGAATAAACCAGTTTTGTTAAGTAAAGGCTTGTGTCGCTTAAGTTTCGTCGGTACGAAGTTACGGAAAATCAATTAAAAAAAACGGAGACGTAACAAT